ACAGTACTGTGGCCTTTTAATGAGAGCATATTAGCAGCGTATGGCTGTATATCATTTGTTTACCCTTCCAACTAAAATACTAAATCCATGATACACAGATAACCATGACAGACACACTGTAGAGTAGTGCAACTACACATGAAAAGAATTTGAAAAGTACTACTGAACTTGAATTTTCCGTTCCACTTTAAATGGTGCAGCAGTTACGTTCCGGCGCCTCACTGCTGCACCATTTAAGGTGGAGCGTCAAATTCCACTACGAAGCTGGCGAAGAACAAATAAACGTCAGCCTCGAGGTGAATGTTGGGCTTGTTGTACCTGCAGAAGCTGTTAAAATCGGTCAAATATAGAGACGCTGTGTCTCTTTTGTTTTGCTACCATGAGGAAAATGGTCAGTTCACCTGTTGAGTTTCTCCAGTTTAAGTGTTAATTGAGGATGGATTGATGCTGTTGACGCTTCACTTGTTTCTTATGGAGGTGAACTAGAGCTCTAACGCTTCGCCTGTTTTCCGAAATAAAATAAGCCCAGTAGACATCTGACGACATTGCTGTTTATCAGATTTACGTTAGGAAACGAGTCCATTCAAATAAAAGTAACCGACTGTGTAGCGACTCTCTTCTGAGTCTTTAGGCTGAAGTCCGAGTCACTGGTGTTGAAGTCAAAGTCAAATTGCAAGTCTTTCTTAAGATTTTCTATCAAGTCATCAAATTAGACAAATTCAATTCAAATTCAAGTCATATGACTCGAGTCCACACCTCTGCTTGTAGCTACCCATGACTCATATAAAATGTCCACTAAAGGTGTTAGGGGGGGCTGGTTGCCCAGCACCCCTCAACCCATGCTACAAGCACCAGTGCAGTGCCCCAGTCCACAAACCCCGGCGCTGTCAGTAATTACGATGTGGTGCCCAATCTCACATCCCGGCCTGACTTCAGTTCCCTTGGTTTCCGGTCATGGCTTTCGCAGTGTTACTGGATGAATCATATATATCACAGCTGTCAATCAACAACTCTGGGCAGAACCTCAAAAGGCACAAGTAGAAATGCGCCTGACTTTTTGTGAACTTCAAAATATTCGTAAACAAACCCAACAATTCTAGCACACCACTAAATTACATCTGTGAAGCCCTGCAGTTAACTGTAACCGACTGTGTGATACTGAAAACGTGCTAGCTCAGTAACTCTGGCTGAGGGTCCTTAGGAAGTGAAACCAGGAGGGGGATGTGAGATTGGACTTGTCACAGATAAGCAAAGAGTGTGCAGCAGTGGGTGGAGGAATTCATGTTCACACTGTTGTCACCTGATTTGAATGTTTTGCAGATAAGAAGTCCAGAATCTGGGCGCAGGGATTGTTATCTAGGCTAAAGGCCCTGAACTTAACAACCCTTGGAGAGTTGAGTTATTCACTGTTAACTCATCAAGGGCCATTCAGGTCACGTCATAGACCTGCATGAAGATATTCGAGCAAAATATTCTATTCAATTCATACAACTTTATGCTTAATTTCAGCAGCATGACCCAAATGGGTTTTTAGTTAAACATTTTTAAAATTTGCTCATATTAGGTTTGAAATTGCCTATTAAATTGTGAATTTTACTTCTCATTAAATTCTAATATCTGACTGGACCAGGCTAAATTTTTAATTGGGTATAAATAAATACAACACTAAAAACTGTAAATAACCTTGTTTCATGTTCATGATTTCACATTAGTTTCTTATACTGTACTTTTTACGTCCAACCATACAATTTTTCACCTTTAAAATCTGATCTTTAGGTTCATTTTTTGTTGTTGTTGTTTTTTTTGTTCTCTATCGAAGAGGCTTGTGGTACTGCTGTTCTGCTGAGTGTAGTTGGTTTTAAAGCTCGTGTGGCCGAAAGGAGTAAGCAGGTGCTACATTATTGACATTGCTTTAGTGATACCCTGTGTTTATACTTAAAGCTAATGACAAATCTGTAGTTTAATTGCTTTGAATAGGGATGGGCATTTCAGGGGTTGGGAGGGTACAAGAATCCTGGCTACAGGCTACCACACCAGATGGGTCAAGAGATCAGACACAGTGACACCACTCAGCATTGTCCTATATTCCACCCAGGCCTATTCATAGTAGGTGGCTTGAAACTTCCACCAAAAACAGCCAGTCAATCTAATCTCTTTAAATAAACAAATTACAATCATTTATTTTCACCACAGCTAATGTCATTAGCCTAGTCACACTGCAGTGCTGCTATATACACACAAAGGTTTTATAAAAGTAAAGCTCCAGATATTAATGCTGCTAAAAATAAAGGCATGTGTGATTTAACGTTCTCTAGCCCCGAGAAACCTTGTCTATTTGTGTTTTGTGATTTTACCTACTCAATGATAGAGAACTGTTAGCTTTTGTCCTGCACGTTTGCATGCGTGTGATTGATCGTGCATTGTGTTGATTATTATTTCTCAATGGTCACTCATATTGTTAACCTTTGATTAGTGCCATTGAATTCCCTTTCGGAACAAATGTTTGCGTTTGGGTGTGTAGCTCTACGATCGCGTGTTTGTACTGCAATCACATGTAGGTTAGTGTATGTGTTTATAGTTGTTATGTACAAGAGGCATCCCTTAATACATAAATCAATTGTTACACATGTTATGTTTGTTGGCCAAACTGATACTGCAGTCTCCTTGTTTCTATGCTCCAGCGGTGCTGCTGGAGTTTTTAAACACTGTGTCCACTCACTGTCCACTCTATTAGACACTCCTACCTTGTCAGTCCACCTTGTAGATGTAAAGTCAGAGATGATAGCTCATCTGCTGCTGCACAGTTTGTGTTGGTCATCCTCTAGTCCTTCATCAGTGGTCACAGGACGCTGCCCACAGGACGCTGTTGGCTGGGTATTTTTGGTTGGTGGACTATTCTCAGTCCAGCAGTGACACTGAGGTGTTTAAAAACTCCAGCAGCACTGCTGTGTCTGATCCACTCAGACCAGCACAACACACATCAACACACCACCACCACGTCAGTGTTACTGCAGTGCTGAGAATGATCCACCACCCAAATAGTACCTGCTCTGTGAGGGTCCGTGGGGGTCCTGACCACTGAAGAACAGGGTAAAAGGGGGCTAACAAAGTATCAGAGAAACAGATGGACTACAGTCTGTAACTGTAGAACTACAAAGTGCACCTATATAGTAAGTGGAGCTGATAAAATGGACAATGAGCGTAGAAACGAGGAGGTGGTCATAATGTTATGTCTGATCGGTGTAAATTAGAAAGGGAGGAAAAAAAAGCTGTGTGACATTTGTGGAAGAGGTCCAGCTGCTGGGACACAGCTGATCTGTCATCTTGGTTTACGTCATGCCAAACAAATTGGCCAATGAGCTTTAGTTAGCTTGAATCGAACATGTTCTGTGGTGAGCAGAGCTGTTATCCAGCTAGCTAAGCTAACCAGCTCCTCTCTCCTAGTTTGCAGCACTGTTTAACAGTGTTGCACCAATACCGTTACTGATACTGTATCAGTATTGGTGCCAATACTGGCACTTAAACGCAGTATCGGTATCGTTGATGGGGATGGGGACGTGTGCATTTGCGCCAGTAGACAGAACTTAACGACACATCAGCGGTGTGGGACGACAAGCATCAGTAAAAATTCTCATGGTAGAATCTGTAACTATAATGGAGCTGCTTAGCTGAACGGCTGAGCTGCTTCTTTCAGTAATCACTCGTCTGCTGCTGTGTGGTCACTTACAGTCAGAGTTCATGTTATTGAGGGAGTGGAAGGAACCACCATAATGATGTGGCGGAAGGAACCGCCATAATGATGCCTTTAGCCTTGATTTAGCCTTTTGCATAGCAGCCCGCTAGCCGGGCTTGTGCGTCCACTAGCCCTGTCCGCGGTGCACCTCCATCAGTCAGCTGTGTCACACAGCAGCGGGGTCTCGCGGCCCGTTGCTCCAACCAAGCCAGATAAAACACTGAAAGTTGCTGATACTGACAGCATAAATGGCGGTGATGTTTACTGAACTGACGCTCAGATATGCAGCTCGAGTGAACAAGATGCACATATGAGCCAAACGACAAAGAAATTTGGAGGTGAAACAACATTCAGCTCTGTTTTTGAGCCAGAAAAGCTGCTGTGTGCTGATGTGTAAACACCACAGGTTTATCTGTACATTATTCAGCTCTGTTTTTAACTTAAGTTGTTAAGTTGTTAAACATGGTTCTTATTACTAATTATATAATAGTAAATACTAATTATATGCAGTAAATAAACAAAAATAAGTCTTCTTAAGCATCTAATAAACATGGTCCAACAAGTAAATGCCATCTAGCCAAGCTGAGTGTGTTTTGTTTGTAATGCAGAACATAAATTTTGAAAATATTTTATTTTGGTAAAAACTAATTGTATAAATATCACTCATAGGTGAGTTAGGTTAGATGGAGTTAGTATCGGTATCGATACTCTTTATTGGCTGATACTAAAGGATCAGGTATCGGTATCAGTATTGGAAGGGGAAAATTGGTATCAGTGCATCTCTACTGTTGATTGTATCAATTGCTAGATAGATGGTATGACATTTATTGAATGATGCATTAAAAACTGAACATTGACTAAACAAAGTACTCTTCATTTTTATTCAACCATAAAACCGACTCTGATAAGTTTTTACAAAACTTGCTGAATAACATTCAGACTGGCAACCTGTCCAGGGTGTTTCCTGCCTTCCGCCCAATAAACACTGGGATAGGCTCCAGAAGCCCCATGACCCAGGAGGATAAGTGGTTTAGATGAATGAGTGAATAACATTCAGAAGCAGCAGCAACCATGACAGTTTCATTGATACTGTGATTAGAATTTTGAGGTCATTTTGAAATCAAAGCAACATCGGGTTAGTTTCCATGACCTTGCAGAATTCACTGAGCCTGAATTCTGTTTAAAGTGAGCAAATAAATGGAGGGTTTTACTTCAAGAAAACAGGTGCTTCATTATGACCACGTCTCTCTTTCTTTTTCTCTTTTAGTCCAGCCCAGACGATGGCCACCATCACCTTTTGCAAGTTCCACTTCCAGAGCTGCTTTATACTGTTGCTGTCCATAACCTTCACTGTGTCCGTCACGCTCTATATGTCCAACGTCCCCCTTGAGTCATCCAAAGTATGGGTCAGCAATGTTGCCAACCAGATCCACTCTTATTACAAGTCAATCAAGGAACCAATACCCAAAAATGACACACTTCTAAATTTGTCCCCTCCCTCATCCACACGTGCCACACATCCGCCTATAATTACGATGAACAGACATAATGTGAAAGATGTGGTCAATGAGGAGTCCACAACTGCTGACCTGTTGAAAGAGAGGTCGCCGATCCTTTACCACGAAGCGTACCCAGGCAACTACCACTACATCATAGACGAGCCCCTTAAGTGTGAACAAGAGAACCCGTTTCTGGTCCTCATGGTCCCAGTGGCTCCACACGAACTGGAGGCTCGCAACGCCATCCGGAGCACATGGGGTAATGAGAGCGTGGTCCGAAACAAGACCATCACTGTGATCTTCTTGCTGGGTCTGCCTAGAAATAAGGCTGAGAAAAAACAGGAGGAACTGAAGCTGGAAAGCCAGCAGTACCACGATGTGGTCCTGAGCGACTTTATAGACACCTACCTCAACTTGACGATAAAGACCACGGTAATCATGGACTGGCTGGCCACACGTTGTTCCAAGGCATCCTACGCCATGAAGGTCGACTCCGACATGTTCTTGAATCTGGAGAACTTGATGAGCTTGTTGCTGTCACCTGCTACGCCTAAAGAAAACTACATGACAGGGATGGTTATGTGGAACCGGCCGGTTGTCCGGGACAAGAACTCCAAGTGGTATGTGCCAAAGGAATTATACGCTGAAGACTACTACCCAACATACCTGCTGGGGATGGGTTATGTCTTCTCCAATGACCTTCCAAAGAAGATTGTTGAGGCCTCCAAAGAAATAACACCGTTTAACATAGAGGATGCATACGTGGGTGCCTGTCTGAAAAAATTAGGAATTTCACCTTCGAACCCTCCAAATCCCTCCCAGTTTAAGGCCTATTTTGGTGGGGAGTATAATCGAGAAGACTTTGCCAAGGTGATCACCACCATCCTTCACTCCCCACAGCAGCTGATCACATTCTGGCAGAACTTTAAGAGGCCTACATGAAGGACTTGGAGGGAAAGGACTCAGAACTCATGATATTTGTCACAGGGTCACCTTCCATTGTTTCTTAAAATGCTTTTGCATTGTCTGTATGGGAAAAGGCTCTTGACATAGGACTGTGAATGACTGACACATTTGGGGAAGTATTTATTTTGCTTTTATGGTGAACATGCTTATGGGTGCTCTGAAAGACATGAAATGGGAATTTGGGTGTTATAACAGTGGAACCAAGATGAACTGGAACAACAGAACCAAAGAGGTCTCTATCATGTCACTCGATATCTTGTGAAATGAACATTTAGAATTTGATGTTTAACATATTTTTTAAAAATGGGAATATTTATAGAATTTTTTTATTATTTACATTTTGGATGGATTTTACCTTTACTTACTGTATCTTCCCTCAGTTTAATCAGAATTGATTCCTAGTGCAGTAAGTCTCTCCTCAAACCAACAGCACTACCAGTCAAAACGGTGAGCACAGAAATTGCACTGGCACTTTTCTGTTTCTTCCACCGTGATGAACACAAAAAAGCTCTCAAGTTGTATTTCTGCGTTTCCAGCTCTCATGTTGTTTTCAAGTCTGATCTATGCTACGAAAGGTTCTTGGAGCAATGCCATAGAATGACCACTTCTGATTCTCTAAATAAACATGCTTGAAAAGGAGATTTGTGAGTGTAAAGAAGCTTCACATAATGCAAGGGATGTCCAAACACTTTCAAAAGAAGGCCAGATTGAATCATTTGTGAAAATTTATTCACAAATCTGAGCTTTCTGTGAGGTACCGTGCTTCCTATCCCTGTATAAAAGATGCACGAGGCTTATTTTATTGTTGGATCGCTCAGAGCAATTTGGATTGGTAAGCACTTGTAATAAAAAATGAAATAGTTTGAGCAACATTAAACCATTATTAATTATATTAAGTGTTTACTTGCTCATAAAATGTTACACAAACTAAACAAAAATGTATAAACTGGTAAGGTTTGTTACATATCAAATAAGTGCAGCAACTGCACTCAATTCACTTTATTAAATGCGTAAATCAAAGTAAACAGCACGAATAGCCATGTTTGTGTTCAACCTTAAAAGGGTTAATATTTACTGAATAACTGGATTTGCTCTAATAAGAAGTTGGTGCTGCGAGACTCAGGAAGCTGCAGCAAATGTTCATCTTAAATCTCTTTCTCTGCCTTTTCGTTCGCTACTGGCTTGGCGAGAAAGCGTTGCTATGTGACCTACAGTCTCAGTCATTGAGAATCAGGGCTTTCGCGCTATGTTGCGCACGTCCTGTCTCGAATATATTTTAATGACGCAGCGATCTCCCCACTCTCTACAACAACACCAAAACCGAAGTTATAAAATCACTAAAGAAAACAGGCAGGACAGCTGTAACGCGCTGCGTGGACACCCATTACCACTGGATCTTATTTCACCATAACAGCGCATTTTATCACAGATGAGTGGCAGCAGCGTCTCATGTGCTCCAAACAAGAGCAGTGAACGAGAGCCTTCTAGTTCACTGACCACATCACTTCCATTTGATTTATTAATAAAAGATATTGGAAGTAAATTCATTGTGGATCATTACAGATACTTTGTTTTAAAAGTACCAGGTCCTCACACAGTGAGAAAATAGAAATGCTGTATAGAAAAAGATGCATCAAGATGCACCGATAATCGTTTTATAGTGGGGTGCCTAGAGATTCCCACCCCTATTATGTACTGTAGAGTTCTTTTCTATTTTACATTGAGAAACGTTATTCTTGAATTGTTGCACTATCTGATCGTGCAGTCTTTCACAGAGTGGTGAACCCCTCCTCATCTTTACTTCTGAAAGACTCCGCCTCTCTGGGATGCTCTTTTATACCCAATCATGTTACTGACCTGTTGTCAATCAACCACCAGGTGGTTTTTTCCGCATTACACAACTTTACCAGCCTTTTGTTGCCTCTATCCCAAATTATTTGGAATGTGTTGTTGCCATCAAATTCAAAATGGGCAAATATTTTTCAAAAAACAATAAAATTTCTCAGTTTCAACATTTGATATGTTGTCTTTGTACTGTTTTCAATGAAACATAGGGTTTAAATGATTTGCACATCATTGCATTTTGTTTTTATTTACATTTTGCACAGCATCCCAACTTTTTTGGAAATGGGGTTGTATTATACCAGCCCATCTCATTTACAAAAATGGTTCTCTAAAGCAGAGGTCTCAACCTTTTTAAGAGTGTGGACTGAATCCCGTGGCCTGTAATGGGTTTGGCATTGCTACAGGGCGTCATTCACTAGTTTCTGTAAACATATAACACACAACAGTTTTGGCAAATAATCGTCTCCAATGGGGATGAATCTGTATTTTATGCAAGTGCCGTTATATTTTTGATTGATGCTTTTTAACTAGGTGTCGTTTTCACGCTTGTCTTCACTGAGTTTGTCAGTTTTTTTGTTTTTCATTACATGGTTACTATTCATGCAATATTAATAACTCCTACAAGAATGTTGTTTTATTTTAAGAATAGCACAGTCTTTCAAAAAACACGAGGAAAAAAAATATTGGCACCCTGACACAATTTTTTTTTTAAATAAAACCAAAGAAATTTGCATCCTTGGGGGAAAAAAATGTTCTTTTTTACTGTGCCTCATCTCTAGGAACTCCACTGTGGTCCATGACCATTTCCTGTTTTCCTGGGGTATAAATACAAGGCTACACACATATAAGATCCCATCCATCATCAACATGGGTAAAACCATAGAGCTGTCAACTCAAATGAGAAGGCACAGATTAGGTTATGGTAAGGGTTATAAACCAAAGTAGTTGACAGTTGAAAGTGCCATTAAGCACAGTCTGCCCCCACGTACAGTGAGGGGATGGTAAGAGAGGCAAAAAGGAACCTAAAGATCACAGTTTCAGAACTGCGCAGTTTAGAATCTTGGGGTTTTCAGAAGCACGACCAGGTGCTTTTTGGAAGAGTTCCACAAAAGGGGCCTTTCCTAAGAGCAGGCCACCCAATGGCGTGCCTGAACTTGTCACTGGAACTTCAAATGGAACTGCGTGATGTGGTCAGCCAAAAAAAAACCTTTGGGCTTTTTGGCCATGCACATCATTGTCACGTTTGGCAAAAACAAAGTGACTGCATATAATAAAAAAGCAAGGACTGTCAAATATGGTGGTGGATCATTGATGTTTTGAGGCTGTTTTGCTGCGAGGGGTCCAGAAGCTCTTATGAAAATTAATGGCATAATGAATTCCACTAAAGACCAGGAGGTTTTAGCCCAAAATCCAAATGCCTCTACCAGAAGGCTGAAACTTGGCAGTAGGTGGCAAGATAATGACCCCAAACACATATCAAAATCCACAAAGAAATGGTTGCAGGAGCACAAAAAAAGTTTTGCAATGGCTCTCTCAGTGTCCACATCTGATTGCAGTTGAAAATCAGTGGTGTGCATTGAAGACGGAAATCCTCAGAATATCCTGGAACTGGAAATATTCTGCCAATGCTCTCCATCCTTGTTAACATTACAGAAAGCGGCTATGCTGATATTCTCACCAACAAATATTATAAATGGTGGGTGTGGCAACATTCTCGAATTTGTTTTATTTATTTATTTTTTTAATCTGTTACCAAAGAAAAACTTTTTTTAACCACTGTAAAAATAAACAAATGTAGCTTATCCATTTGTTTTAAGCCTAAAGTATCACTCACTGCAAGTGGTTTACTTATTAGGGGGTATAGTGCCTGAACTTCAAGGCCAAACTCTGCATTATCTGCAATATCTGTGGTACACGGTAGCATTTTTAGAAATCCTGTCTCATCATGTCTTAGATTAGTCGTCTACAAGGTCAGACCAAACAGAGGTCCTACATGTCAGGGCAATGATGTTTACAACGAACTCATTCATTCATTCCTCATGCCTGTTTGTTCTACTCCCTTTCCCCTCAGGGATCTACACTGTAAATCTGTTTCTATTTGCCAGCTGCGTTTTATGGAACAAAAATGCAACTCCCTAATTTACCAACAATAAATAAATAAATAAATAAATCACTTAATAAATAAAGTCAAACAGGATTGGCTAGTACAAAGATGCCTGATTGCTAAGGGTTGGCACCATCGAAAGGCGGGGTGTCCTTAGGATCCAGTATCAGTTATTGTTGTCAGACAAAGGCAAATGGTTTCCATATCAGACAGAAGAGCCACAGTGAAATATGAAACTAAAGCCAGGCAACCTCATCTTACCGGTTATGGAAAAAGACGAACAAGTAACGGCAACGACATGTACTTAATGATGCAATTCAAATGTGGCCTGTTTTACCACAGGTCTTTCTCAACACCTGTTCTGTTAGAAATCGGTCCATCTGTTTGAACTGCACTGAATCCATCATCTCAGGGAGGTAACTAGACTAATTTCTCTTATTGTATTCATGTTTCCATTCAAAGGTCGTAGGATAAAGGATAGAGAGGCATTTCCACTGTTACTAAGGGGTCATGTTTGCTGTTAACATAACATGTTTTGCCTTGTTTAGACAATTTCTGCTATCTGTACTGATAAGGAGGATTTGGTGATCTGTGAGTTGATGTGTTAAACAGTAGCAGGTGCAAAGCACTATAAAGCAAGGAAAATTAAGGCATCTGCTGGTGTTTATTTGCATTATTGCAAGGCTTTATGCAAATCGATTGGACCAAAACCCATTTGCGAATGTTGTCATGGGTGTCCTTGACTGTATACTAAAAGAAGGACCAGACTGACTTTCTTCAACTAAAATATTTCTTTAGTGTACCACATTTACAACTGGAGAATAGTATCTTTAAGGGGACTTTAAAGTGATTAAAGTCATTCGTGAGACCTTCGCAAAGACTGTGAGCAAAATGGACCTCACTGTGAACTGCCTGCTGGATTCACGTGTACTGCATAAACACCAGATTTCTTAGTAGACTGTGTGCATGTAAATGATTAAGCGCATATACTCATTTCTTTCCACACCATTGTTACAGTACAGGCCTATGAATTTCAAATGACCACTGTATAAGTAAGTAAGCCATGAAATTTACTGACAAAGCCTTCAACATGTCTAAAGGAAATAAACCTTTATAAACTTTTATAGCAGCCATTATTCAGTGAAATGTTCCCCAGGCAACTGGGCGTATCTCCAGACAATCAAACAGTAGAGCACTTTAAGTTAATTGTGTCATTTTCACTAGTTCACCATGCTTAGACAAAAGGCTGTGTCTGAGCAGTTAACATGCACCACAAGTTAAAACGTTTTCAGATATGCATGCAACCGCTTGAACGTGGTTCAACAACACACGCTGAAAAAGTGGGACGGAATTACACTTTATAGCCATGTTTATTATACATTATGAATTGTTAATATAATGCATTATAAATAGTGTTAATAACATGTTATAATGTCAGTGCCAAAGAAGTCAGTCCCAGCTTGGAGAGCATAAAGTAAAGACAAATACCAAGCTAACGGTGGTGTACATTACCTTTCCCACATTGGGTAAAACACTGATGGCAGCTCTAGTTTAAACTCTGACATTTGAAGCCTGTAATGTGCTTTATTGTGTATGTTTTAGTGTTTCAGTAAATCCTTCAGTAAATACTTCAACTTGAAGCCTCACTCTGAACACTGGAGGAGGCTTTAGTACAGTACGCTTCACTTTACTTAGAGCGGACAAATACGACTTATGAGCTCTTATAATTTGTTATGATCAGTACTTATAATGTATTATGTTAACAATTCATAATGCATAATAAACATGGCTATAATGTGTAATGCATTTTTATAAATATTTATAGCTATGTTTATAATGTCTTTTGAATGCATTATAACACGTTATGAATGCGTTTATAGATGCTTACAAAAGTAACAGTCATAGAAAGTGTTACCGAAAAACTATTTCAAAAAACCTTTGAAACTGACAAAGATTGTATTATGATCTATTTAAACCCAAGGCATCAATAGACACAGCAATAAGCTAAATATATACAAGTTCATCATTTAGAAGGTACCGTTCATTCAGAGGTGTGTCCCAAACACTAACCCCGACATTTACACCTCTGAAAATAATACTTGCATTTATTTATTTATTTATTTTTAAAGATTTGATCTCTTTTAAAGTGAAATTGAAAAAAATCTGGATTCATCAGGAATTTTTTTTTGTTTTCATGTCACTACTGAAACACAGAATCTTAGTCTGTAGGTGGGGCCTTATTTTAGCCACACCCCTGCATTTTAGAGCAGGAAGTGAGACTGCACCCCTGTCCCTCATGGCCACATGGTGAGCAGTTAGACTGTTTTGAACTAAATGTGTCCCAAAGTCGGAAAATCTGTGTGGAACATTAAGAATTGCCACTACCGAAACGTTTTGTACAATTCAGTCAACTTTTTTTTTTTGCTTTCATGAAAAATATGATGATTTTGTGTGTGTACAGCTGTTCGAAACTCTGTTTGCTAGACATGTACAGGCTAGCGTTTTTTAGTTCTGCTCAAAATTAGCTAAAATTGTCACCACCGTAACGGTCACCACTGAAACATTTGGTAAAGTTAAAAAAATGGAATATTCATAGTGTTCATAATTAAGATATTGGGTCACTCAAAGCAAAAGAATTTAATCTAAAGTCCAAATCAGTTAAAAGCCCAAAATGGGTTTTCAGCTCTGAACCAATTCGATATATTATCTATTACATTTGTCTTTTCTTGGACCATCAAGCATCATCTGTGTCCTCCTCATATTAATAACTGCTGTTATTTTTTCAAAAATAACTTATGGTTAAGATTGAAATACTCTTTTATTAAACGTTAATTAAAATACTGCAATTATTTATTTATAGCTATTTCTTGACAAATCATCTGCCTGAGATTTGAACACCACATTTTAAATACAAGGCATTCTAAGTATTAGTTTTCTCAGTCATTATGGAATCAGCAACAGCTCTGTTTATCATCGTGAACGTCTTTAAAACCTATAACGCTGGTTTATAGAACCTATAAAGATGTAGAGTTACAGCACTGTAACAGAATCATTTTGTACATGTATCCTCAACAAACTGGCAATCAGAGATGCTACGTTCTAGCACCAACATACAGTCGTGTCAATGTTCTTCAAAAAACAAGACATTTAGAAATGACACGTTTTACGTGTGCTCAGGAGCAGGAGTACGTTATTAAAATTTTATTCGTACTCACAAAAATTTTGAGAGCGCAAAAACGTTCATGGAGAAATTTACAAATGATTTGTGCACAAATTTGTTCTGCTCATGTTTTCGGACTTGTTAGTAACTTGGACTTCAGACTAAAATCCTTTTAAGTGACCCTGTATTTTAATTATGTTTATTTTATTGAAATAAATGATTAAACGTTCTATTTCATCAGTCATAACACTACCGAAACGTTGCCAAATGTTTCAGTAGTGACTTTCTGTAGTGACAATTTTAGCTAATTTTGAAAGCTCAAAAATGACAGGCATGAATCATCACTGTTGAAACTAAAGTTCCACACTGACCATGTGGCCTTGAGAGACTTCCTCCTCCAAAATGCCAGGGCATGACTAAAATGAGGCTCCGGCTACAGACGAAAACTGGGTTTCGGTAATGACATGAAAACGTGGGACAGCATTTTTTGCACTGCTGGTGGATCATGTAAGTTTTCATATTTGAATTTTCAACTTCAGTTGAAAAGAAAGCAAAAATATCTTTTAAACAGCATTTAAAAAAACAAAAATTGAAATATTCATTTTCACAAGTATAAATTTAGACGTTAAGGTTTGGAACAGACACCTCCCAATAGAAAGTACCCTAAAAAAGATGGTTTTGTATATAATTATCTTGTTTATCTCAAATAACAATAAAAAATTAGGTTTAAATGGATCAGTTTTGCAAGTTTTGCATTAGATGAGTGATGAGCTTTTATTCAGTTACAAGCGTACATGCTCATATATCTTTTTCATGAGTGAAACAACACAGTTGTTTGACACACCCACAACTCAGAAAGTCAAGGCTCATCAGAACATCTGAGTTTCCCAATATTGATAATGATGCCGACTTGAAGACAGTGTTCCTCTGCCTTCTTAAAGTTTTTGATATATATATATATATATATATATATATATATATATATATAAATAGAGTGGACAGTGAGTGGACACAGTGTTTAAAAACTCCAGCAGCACTGCTGTGTCTGATCCACTCAGACCAGCACAACACACACTAACACACCACCACCACGTCAGTGTTACTGCAGTGCTGAGAATGATCCACCACCCAAATAGTACCTGCTCTGTGAAGGTCCATGGGGGTCCTGACCACTGAAGAACAGGGTAAAAGGGGGCTAACAAAGTATCAGAGAAACAGATGGACTACAGTCTGTAACTGTAGAACTACAAAGTGCACCTATATAGTAAGTGGAGCTGATAAAATGGACAATGAGCGTAGAAACAAGGAGGTGGTCAGAATGTTATGCCTGACCGGTGTATATATATATATATATATATATATATATATATATATAAAATGGTAACTTTACAGGAGAAGGAAAAAACCTACTTCACTTTTAATGTAAGTCAATGGAACCAGACATTTTTCCAAGTGATTTTGGGTCGTTTCTTTTGGTCCATTCATCATGAAATTTACACACAATGTAAACAGACATTTTTTTAAATTATGTCAGAAACTGAAAAACATCAAAATTGGAGATATGAAGTTTATATATATATATATATATATATATATATATATAAGGGCCTAAACCTCACATGGTTTGCTAGAACCAGAACCTTAGACTAAACAAACTGTTGGAGTGGCTGAGTATGTTAGCGTGCATAAGCACTCGTAGGCTCCAAACGTGTGGAACACACAAGAAGGTGCAACATTGTGAACAAGCACAGGCATCTTTTACCGTTGTAGTTGCACAATCATTGCACAGACCTGTGAGGAACATGCGGCTTCTGGCCTTTTTTTCCTTCTCTTTGAAAAAAAAGAGGGCGTGTTCTCACACCCAGAGAAATTTAACCCTGCGGTTTTACAGGAGAAGTGGGAGAGGCAACGAGGGAGGATAGCTGAGCTGACCGAGGAGGGGCTACATAGCTACAATCTACCTGCAAATACACTTTCCACCCTCATTTGTCTGCCTTGTTTAGAGAGGGCCAGGAACGCTCCACTTAGTGGGAATGAATACACTGGGATGGCCTGGAATGGTGCCAACTTACATAGACCCAGGTGTGTGTGTGCGTGTGTATGCAGTGACAGGGCGGGGGGTTAGCAGGCAGGAGGGATGGGGCATTCTGGACCGGCAAACCCAGTCGTCTGACCGTGTGAGTTACAGGTGTGCCTAGACAACGTAGAGACTGGGACCCTTCGCAGGCTTGGAAGATGAGGTAAGTGGTCCTAGGATATTTGATTAGATATACAGAGAAAACTGCTCAACAGTTGTGTTCATAAACAGACTGATGGAGTTCGCTTCCTTGTTACGTAACATATGAAACTAACGCTAAATAAAAGCTTGAGGCCTCGCAGGGGTAGAAGGTGCCAGCATGTTTTGCTCTGCTTTGGACATTGTTGTAATTTATGAGTTCTCCATGTTCACTCTTGTTCCAGCGAGCACTGCAAGTCAGCAGAGAGTATATTATATACCTGTAATATACCAGCATCGCAAATGCATGCGGTCAACACTGTATACTTGAGAAGTCCGAGAAGTTTTTTGAACAGTCCGTCAGTTAATAAAAACTTAACATTAGTTTCATGATAATTAAATAAGCATTGCTATATGTTGCTGTTGTTGGAAGAAACCTCGTATCTCCAAAATGGTAACTTTACAGGAGAAGGAAAAAACCTACTTTACTTTTAATGTAAGTCAATGGAACCAGACGTCTTTCCAAGTCATTTTGGGTCGTTTCTTTTGGTCCATTCATCATGAAATTTACACACAATGTAAAGAGGAACAGGCATTTTCAAATTAGGTCAAAAACTGAAAAACAAGGTTTTCTTCCAACAGCAGCGATATGTTTTCCAGCCCAAACGCAATATCGTCCAGTTTGGTTGCTTTACATTACAAACATTGTCATATAAGTAAATGTTATCCAATAATAACTTCCACAGTGTTGATTGAAATGTTATAAGCCAGACTCTAAAACATAAACCAATATTTTAGAACAACAATAAGTCAGGGTGTGGTTAAACAAACATAGCAAATAGACTATCTGCTTATAGTAATGACTATAAATAGCTATTTGATCCAGAGATATTGAGGATATTAACTTTATTAGATGTTCATTGTTAATGCTAAACAGCTTTCCCAGCACCCATACGGAAAAAAATACATGGACATGCATTTCTGTATATTTGACATGCATTTCAAATACATTGCAGTCCATGCCAAAATACATTCCAAACACTACAATGTATTTCAGAATATATCGTTATATTAACCAAATAGATTAATTTTATAATGATGGGGATACTATTTCACACAGAAATGTACTATATAGAAATAATGCACGCAAACATATTTATGTATTTATATTAATGTACAAAAATAGCCAAAATACTGTTCAATGCACTTTACTGTTACTGATACTTTTGAAATGAATTTGTATGTTATGATTTGATATCTTGTTTATTTGGAATGCATTTTGTGTGAGGATGTCTTAACGCATACATACATAATGCAGTCAGTACAGTTCATTCTTGTAATACTTGTAATCTTTGTTAAAACTACACACAATTGAAGAAATAATTTTTTTGCCATTTTCATACATTGTAAAAATACACATGGAAAATACATTTGGAACATTATATTTTTTCCCATAAGGGTTATTATGAACGTAGGACGGAACTCATAGAAAGGAGCTTCCGAAAAACAGTTCAAAGCCACAACAAAACTGGTTTTACACAATTGAAAACCGAGATTCTGAGAATTTTTAAACTGTTATTCCGAACTTTTTAATGGTAGCGTATACATACATACATACATCATCTAAACCGCTTATGCTTCTGGGTCGCGGTGGGGTGCTGGAGCCTATCCCAGCTGTCATTGGGCGGAAGGCAGGACACACCCTGGACAGGTCGCCAGTCCATCGCAGGGCATGGTAGCGTATATAAATAAGTTAACTTGTGTTTATGTTTTGTTGAGTCAGTATTGTGCACTTAAGCTTTTATGCTCTCAAGAGTGTACACAAACTATAATGTTTACTCATATCCACCCATGAACTTGTTTTGATTTAATAGCTTGCTGAATTTCAAACACTCAGGTGTGAACACTCACAAACAAAATATTAAATAGACAGTGGACATTAATGTTATGTTACTAAGATCAACATTAGCATCACATGTTCCAGAAGAAAATAAAGGTTATCCTCTGTTATGTCAAGACAAGAAAGAGTCTATACTGTCCTGACTTTCCTCTCTTTCTCTCTCTCCACTTCCAAATGCAGTCGGAGGAGTGCTTTGGTCTTCCTCATGATGCTCGGGATCCTTTGCCTGCTTTACTTCTTCAGTCCTCTGCACTGGGGAACAGAGTTTCATGAGACATATGAGGATCCAGGACCATACCATGTGGCATACCCCCAAAACTATCGCTTCATCCTAGACCACCCACAGAAGTGCAAGCAGCACAACCCCTTTTTGGTGGTGATTGTGCCAGTGGCTCCTCACCACGTGGAAGCTCGTCATGCCATCAGGAAAACATGGGGGAACGACAGTCTGGTCCAACACGGAACAGTGCTGGTCCTGTTTCTGCTGGGATTACCAAGTGGGAACAACTCCAGAACTCTACAGCTCCGCATACATCAGGAGAACCTGCAACATCAGGATTTGCTGCAGAGCGATTTCATAGACTCCTACAGGAACCTGACCATTAAAACTATGGTGATGCTAGAATGGCTGAAAGAGTACTGTCCCCAGGCGCTCTTCGCTGCTAAAGTGGACGACGACATCCTGCTGAACATCAGAGGCCTGATGATGATGCTGCTGAATCCCAGCGTACTTCTGAGCAACTACATCACTGGCCTGGTGTGGTACGGCAACGTTGTAATCAGAAATCCATCCAACAAGTTTTACATCCCTCATAATGTGTATCCCAACTCTGTGTACCCACCATACCCTTTGGGCATGTGCTACATAATGTCCATGGACCTGCCAGGAAAGATCTTGAAGGTGTCAAAAGAAATTAAACCCATTTTCATCGAGGACGCATATATAGGCTTGTGCCTTGAACGACTCAACATTGCTCCCACAAATCCTCCAAACCTTGATCAATTTGTGGTCAACCCACCTAGGGTGTACAACCGGTGCTACTATGCCAAACGTATTGCTATAATGACCAACAGTCCCAATCAACTGACCTCTTATTGGACTGATATTCACAAACCTGGCCCAGCGTGTTGATGCGGTTGGTTAAACTCCTGAAGTTAGGACTTCTCAGGCCATATTCACAAATCTGCTGATTTAGGACCAGATTCACATGCATGCTGACTCTACCACACCACTGGGTTATATGAAGATAACCGTTCAACATAGGGTTAGGAAATTATTGTCATGGTTTTCAGACCATGGATCATGGAGTTGGTCATACCATTCCATCTGTCTTGTTATCCAGTAGTTATCGTGGTTCAGTATTTTTTCAATATTTATCACCAGTAAAACTATCCAACACCTATTTTCTCCCACACTCATGGAAGTCCTCACTCCAGGATCAATGTCGGGTGGTTAAACAAGCAGGCACACCTCTTGGCTGCACAGTAGCACTAGCTACAGAACATTTCTTGAGCTCTAAAGAGCTTGATCGAGTGCCTCAGCTGAGGCAACAGCTGCTGTATAGCTTCCGGCCTTTATCGTTTGCTGCAGCACTCCTGAGGACATGCCGGTTCTCCCTGAGGCGTGAGTTTGATCCCTGGAGGGACTAACTAGCAGTGTTTGTTCTACTATTCATCAGGTCTTTGTACAGGTATCATTTCATTGCTTGGACTGGACGATTGGTGTGTGGGGACATCAGAAGAAAATAAGAGACCTTTCTAAGTTCACAGTTTTCTTCAGGACTGTTTTCAGCCATCCAGTCAAGGGAGGGGACTCAATAGAGCTACAATATCCAGGTTAACTACAGATGAGGACCTCAACACTTTGTGAACAGCACTTAGTTAGTTGCACCTAACCCTGGAGGATAAGCAGCCGGAGGATGCGGAGGTCCAGGGGTCATAACAGCCCGAGGCTATGAACTGCATTACTGCAACATTGCTTGTTTCAGTGGGTGCCATCAGGATCACCTTAGAGTCGTTTCATATAAACCCTGGTTTGGGGACGTGCACTGTGCACAGATACAACATGGTTTTGTTCCATAAAATTGCTGTCACAGGAAACACCTGGAAACACTTGACAGAATCATGAAACTGTGACAGATAGTATATAGTTCATTAGCATTAACTAGCATAATGGCTTTACATTTATTTGTATTGCAAAACAAGTGTTAATGTTACCAAGAATCTTCCAAATAAAATCCTGCAGACAATCCCACCAGGCGTTTTCTCCCCTTAGGCCACAAGTTACGGATGGCTGTGGCAACACTGGGGTCCAGACTCTCGACCTTCTGGTAGGGGGGTGATTAGTCCGTTGCACCACTCGCACTTCTGATCTTGCTCAGATCTGTGTCCTTAAATGTTAACACACTGTTAAAACATGTTTGTTGTTTTAACTTTAAAGAGTAATGTGATGCAATGGTCTAAGAATTCATTCAGCGATCCCACAGAGGAGAAAATGTCTGGTATAACTGGGGCAGCAAGAATTCCAGCTAAAGGAGAAACTGTGTAAAAAAACAGATTCTATACTGTTTACATACTTGAGAAACTCGAACTGAGACTTAGCAGAACCTTTGACTAAACTGAGTTGGGTGTCCTCAGGTTAAATTTAAGAAAAGCTGTGTAATCAGATACCTTATAATTTTAAGTTTTTTTTTTTTTTTTAAGTGCAATTATTAGTGGAAAAGCATTCCTAATAACATTAGCTTGGCCTTGGGAAACAGACACTGAAACTGGGGAGTGGCCACGCCCATTAAACAGCAGGGGAAAGATGCAATCATCGTAGCTTTGTCGAATGAGGTTGCTAAAAGGTCCAGTTTATCACAAATCCCATATGAAAAATAAATATATGCAGTGTTTTTCTCAAATGCATTTCAAAATGTGTGAAAATGGCCAAATAATGTTTTCTTGTTTAATGTACTTCAGTGTTTGGAATACATTTTGGAATGAAACACTGAATATGTTTACATGCACACCAATAGTATGATCATTATCCGATTTCGGCAGTAATCTGAGTATTAGATTAAGGTTGTTATTGGATTTTTTTTAAATCAACAAGGAGGGCTGAATTTTAGCTCAGTAATTGGCTCTGTCAGTGCATATATACCCTTACTCTGATTTCTTTCATTTTTCTCAGTCTGTGCATGTGCAAAAACTGACCGCTGTCACAGAAATATAGCCTGACTCATGTAGACCTGGAGTTTTCCCATTATCTGATTACCCAAGTGCATGGAGAATGAATTACTGGTAAAATCTGATATTCTGGTTAATATATTAAGTGCATGTAAACACGTGCAATGTATTTTAAATGTTGCTCACACGTAAAAAAAAAAAAACATAAATATAGTATTTACCTAGAACTTACATCTCTGTTTTCATTCTTTTGATTGCATGTGCATGTCTCAGCGTGGCCTGCTTGGAAATAGACATAACTGATTGTCAACCTAACCTAACTTGAGATAAGATGTTGTAAGATAAAATACAGCTCCTTTTATGTTCAACTATAAGGAACAGCAAAAATGTTCCTGGGTCAAATTGACACAATGCATGTTTAACCATCCAAAAATAACTAAGAAAATATATTTTTCTCCATAAACATGATCTTTAGCTCAATTAATATCAATTTTAATAATTATTTAGTGTAATTTTTAAAGGTTTTCACCCCATTACAAAACATGATTTACTTATAATAATTCACTCATTCTTAAAACTATTCTTTCTGTACATCAAAGACATTCAACACATTTTTTTTTTTCTTCTTTAGATATTTTTTGGGTACATCTTTTCTATCATGGTGATTCATAGAAAGAAAAAATGTCTTCTGTTCTGGCTCAAATTGACTCTTTTAATTCAAACCACACTAAATGAGCCAGAAATCCAGCAGAGAAGGTTTCATGATCCAAAAAGTATTACAGTATAGTTTTAAACTTTGAAATGGGTCAGTTTGACATAACAGGAGGGTTAAATTAGGATTCAATTTAGGATTTGCTTCTGCAATCTAAATTTGTGAAAAATCTATCCTGAACTTGTCGGATCTTAATTTAAGACTAATGACAGGACATTGCTGTAATACAGCACCTTGAGTTTTATTTTAGTTTATTTAGTTATTTTAGTTCTGGGATTAGTCCAGAATCCAACTTGGCTAACTTTCCTTTGGGATGAATGAAGTATCTGTCTATCTATCTATCTATCTATCTATCTATCTATCTATCTGTCTATCTATCTATCTATCTATCTGTCTATCTATCTATCTATCTGCCTATTAAAATGCAAGTTTTGCAGGACAGTGGCGATTCAGACAAATCAGATGCACGAGAGTTGGCAGGCCTCTATCGCGACATACACTGGAACTGCTAACCTTCTGTCCATAATGTGGTGATGATAAGTTCCAGCTGAACAGGCTTGCCAGGCTTGCCCGTTGTATAAACAGTTCACTGAGTACAGAAACATCAAACCGAAAGAAAGACAGTCCTTTAGCTGTGGGCCAAAGGGACAACTGAAACAAGAAAGGACAAAGGTGGCTCAACTGGTGTCATGTATAACTGACAAATGTCTGCAAGAGAACAGGTTTACAGCAATGTTTTAATCAGGAGACCAATTTGGTGTTCAACTTCCTATCCAACAAACATACAAGTATGAGACTCACAGTAATCATATTCTTTGTCTTCCGTTTTGCTAGATAAACATAGGATCGTCGGCGCCACATGGATGTGATTTAAAACCCTGTAAGAGGAAAAATACACCATTATTTACAGACTCAGATTTAGCAGCACCTGATTTGCTGAAAGTGGCTGTCCAGAAAGTGAGAGTATTTAACGAGGACATGATGAAGGAGATGAAGGACGTTACGTTCTTTTGTATCCAGTTTGCTCCAAGGTTTTTACACATCATATTTTAGACTACTATGACGTTCTTCACGTGTCGATTTTGTTTCTTTTAACTGCAGTGAATCAGACTCAGACTCTGAAACTGTCATCACAACTGGAGCAGAAGTAATTTAGAAAAATAGATACATTTAACGAGTACATTAAGCTCATTAAATGCTGGCCAATATTGTGGCTCAACAGAGCACAATTACTTCGTAAGGTCTGTTGTTGGGGTTAAAAATACCTTCCTCCATGATGCTTGGAAGGACAGTAGGATTTCAGTTATTTTATCTTTCAGAAACTCTGCTATACATATTATATACCCTCGCAGCACTGCTGTGTCTGATCCACTCGTACCAGCACAACACACACTAACACACCACCACCACGTCAGTGTCACTGCAGTGCTGAGAATGATCCACCAACCAAATAGTACCTGCTCTGTGGGGGTCCATGGGGGTTCTGGCCACTGAAGAACAGGGTGAAAGAGACCAAGTATGCAGACAAAAACATATTTTAACAATACATTTAAAAATACACATTTTAAAAAAGGTTCTTCACGGGTTCTTTAGTAAAAGGCAAGGGTTATATTTAGAACAATGAGCATATATAAACGGTTCTTCAGATTGATGAACAACGTGTTGCACATGCATGGAAAACAACCATGCGAATGGTTCAATACTGGACACATGGTTCTCCATAGAGCCATTGCCTTTACTGCCTTGAAGAACCTTTTTAAGCGTGATATACAGTCTGTAACTGTAGAACTCCAAAGTGCACCTATATGGTCAAATAGACAGTGTAGATACAAGGAGATGGTTAATCATGGCTGATTAGTGCTTCTGTGGAAGCTCTGCGAGAACGTGCTCTAACCCTCCGTTCACACTGGCGAGCAACTTTTCGCCTCTTCTTGCCCAAATCACTGATTGCGCAATACCTGTGGGCGTTTTTGAACTCGAGCGGACCGTTGATTGCCATGGTTTCACTGATGCCAAGCACAAATCAGATGTGTTCCCGTAGAAATAAGAATCCTGGTGAGAAATCGCTTGTGTGCTTATTTATACTTAATCCCCGTGTCTGTGCGGTCAGTTTGTGAGGAAAACGCTATTTGGTCTTTTTACTGTCTATTTGCGACGAAAGCACCGCCGCCATTATTCCACCTGTAGTAGGAACAATTATCTACTCACCTGTATGTTTCCTTTTTCTACAGCAAACGGGTTCTGGGCAGCAGAGGGCGGGCATTACTGCTAGTGAGTGCTGACTGGTTGGCGAGCAGAGCAGCTCATTGGCTGTTCGCGCTCACTGACGTCATGAACGTACATGAGGCGCCGTTTTGAACTCCTATAACTCGAGTTTAAAAGCTCTTAAAAATTTAACAGCGGTGTTAAAATGTTTTATGCTGCTCTGTGTTCAGGCAGTGATTGTATTCTTTTACAGTAAAAACGTTTCAGCATTTATAAACTATGATTTTGCTCAAATGCTCCATATCAACCCATTCATTTTGGACTCACTCGGGAGCGCCCTCTAGCGTTTGAGAAACCCGGAAGACATTGGTGGAGTGGTAATTCTCCTCTCTACAAGTTCTCTGGCTCAGTGCTCAATTCCTAATGGTAGTCGCCACATCACTTTGCTCCTTATTTGCATAAAGTTAAACTCCGCTCAGCTCAGTTGCGTCACTGACTCCGCTGATGGTAACTTATTGATCGCAACTTGTATGTAATCGACAGGTAACAACATATCTTAATCTTACAATTTTTTTTGGTTACCTCGCCATGTTCAAAGCAAATACGGTGCCAGTCTGCAATTCACTTGTTAACAGACAACTTACAACGAGTACTGCGTTATCAGTTAAGGCCAGCATCAATAATGTACAGCATATAACATTTTAATAATGTTTCTGGTGATTGTTTTAGTGGACAGCATATTAAGAGAATGTTTTCATTGTCCATGCACACACTAAATGTGATCAGCACTACACGTCAGTGTATCAGTGCGTTGTGCTCTTGACTATCAAACCTCATCTCAGTCCATCAGGGAGCAACAGGAGACTTAGAGAAGGACAAACACTGGGTTTCTGTGCAGACCATCTCCTTGATTGTGGAGCATGACAAATCTATTTCTCTACAGAAGGCCAGGCTGCCATGGAGGACGTTTTTCTGTTTGCAACCGGACTAACTTCACTTCCCCCATCTGGACTGAAACCATTGCCAAAGATCCTGGATGATTCACTAATGCCAATGGCAAATTCATGTTCAAACACCCTGAAGTGACCACTCCTAGATTCATACAATGTATTTAAATCACATATGGATTTTGGAATTCAGCTGTTTTGACTTATCAAACCACGCATGACCGGGTGACCGATTCGTAGATATGAGACTGGGAAAACCACGATAGATTACTGCTGTTGACTTATTAGGCCTGTATGCAGATGTGTGAACATGTTCGCTTTGTTACATCTGGACAGTTTCATTATTAGCTCTTAGCCGTCACTATAATGCTGAAGTTTTTCATGGCGGATTTTTCTGCTCTTTCTAACAGCATCACCTATTGATAAGCTCACACACCACCAATCAGTGAACCCTCTAAATGATAAAACAGGCTGCAGGTATTTATTTAGCCGTTTAGATGTAAAATAGAATTTTGCTGTCAGCTTATGAACAAGAGAAACATCTTTTATGAATGGTTAATATCCAAAACCAGTCCTGACCCTCCTAGGGAAGGAAAATTCTGCGAGGGACCCTCCTATCTGAACCATGAGCCATATAAACCGTCTGCAATTGCCACACAGTGACACCCAACCCCCTAAGGCTACCACTACAATCCTCCCTCCTTTGCCAGTGGGCCCAAAGTTTTATTACGCAATTCTATAACCTAAGAATAGCTTCACCAGTTTGTACTGAAAACTCTGTAGTTACTGAATAATAAGCCTTGTGTGTGTGTGTGTGTGTGTGTGTGTGTGTGTGTGTGTGTGTGTGTATAATTATATCGCTGTTGTCGGAAGAAAACCTTGTATCTCCATTTTTTACGTTTTTCAGGTTTTGACATAGTTTGAAAATACATGTTACCCTTTACATTGTATGTAAATTTCATGAATGGACCAAAAAAATGGAAATAAATTCTGGTTCCATTGACTTACATTAAAAGTAAAGTAGGTTTTTTCCTTCTCCTGTAAAGTTACCATTTTGGAGATACGAGGTTTTCTTCCGACAACAGCGATATGTAAATGTAAACACTTTTTAATAAGGCCCTTTTAGTCGCTGAGTTTGACACACCTAGTCTAGCTGCTACAACTGCTGCAGTTTTAAGAGGAAATCCAAACCACATCCCTTTCAGTGGTATTTACATCTTTACATCTTACATACAAGTTTAAGATGTAGAGAAACCGCCGTATAAAACTGACCCCCACTAGTTGCCCAAATCTCAGCAAATAGAAAAGAACATGTAACCAGTCACATTTCTAATATCACCAGCTATTTTTGCATGATCCTCCCTG